TGTGTTACACTCTTACACCCGACACTTGGCATTTGACACGGCACAGCTTCCTTCTCTATGCCCAATTCTAGAGCTAATCTAAAGGCCATTAGTAGTCTGTAGAAATTGACTGCAGGAAATTGACAACCTTTGTGTACGTAGGGTCTCAGCATCCTCTGCACCGCTCCATCATCATACTGAGCCTACCACTAAGTGGCTAAGCTGCTGTCATTTCCATTCCCTTCAGGGAATTTCTGGACTGGATTTGTGGCATCCAATCACAGAACCAACCTGGAATTCACTGTGCTACTGAGAGCGACTCTATCCTTCACTAATGATTGGATAAACAGTCTTAGTGCCTAAGGGCTTGATTTTATACACCTGAAGCCATGCAAGAGTTTATAACACCAGATTTGGAGGGGTGAACAAACACTGTATGTCTTTTCTACATGCTCTAATTCTTAGCCCTTGTTTGTAATTGTTTCTGTTTTCTTTTGTGCATTGAAGAAAAAAAACAGCCTTTATGAATTTTTATAAGATGTTAGGAGGCAGTTTTTGTTTAATATTAACTTTTTGAGCAAAGCTCTGCTGTTAATGCCTGCAGACATGTTTCTTTAGTATAGATGCTGAATGCAGACAAGCGTGAGTGATAAATGAAGGCTAAAATTTAGTTATCAAACATATCGCAGGAGGTGCAAAAATAAAATCATTGTATTTCTATCTGTCTGCAGAATAGGACAGGTTTATTAAACTTTCTCACTAAAAAAGTTCAGGTAGTTTAGAATTCGTTTCCAGTCAGATCCAGTTCGTCATGTAATTTCCATCTGGGATTATTAAAGTATGTCTGATTCTAATTCTTATAAGCTATTTTCACACAGAACATCACTTTGATCCAAATCTGGTTTTTGCCAATAAGTGACCCATATTTTCCAAGTTCACTAAATGGTCCAATTCCAAGCTTTTCACCCCAAATCTTATATGAGCTTCTTTTGTATTTGGAACCTAATTAGATATGTATGCGATTATTTTAAAAGTGTCTGCAGTCTAAATGGCCATGCCTCAAATTATTCAACTTCTCTGCATATCCATAGTTCTTTCTGCAGCAGAAGCATTAAGAGCTGCAGTGTAATAATTGTGCTCTCTTTTTTCGTGTTTTTCTTCATTGCATTTTTCTTCATGATGTTATCTAACCTGACTCCGCCAGATGGATTTGCTCCGCATATCCATCCAAAAAGGGGCGAAAATACTGGTTAGCTGATTGGCCTATGTTGGTGATAGACGGGCCAAA